AGGGTAACTAAAAAAAAAAAAAGTAATCACTAATTTAGTACCATTATATCCTTCCTTCCTATTTTCCCCACTTCCTTTCCTAATTATAGTTTGCTTATGCCAGTGTTCCCCAATCTGTACTCTAGTGGATGCTAGCTCTGAAAGGCTGTTAATACACATTCTGGAGAACAGGGGTTCCCTTGTCAAGTAAGATTAAGAAATGTTTCTTCTCTGGAAGATTACAATGCTTATTTAACAAAAGGTTCCAGGAAAAAAACCTGTTTAGGTCACAGCTTTCTATATTTAACTTATCACACATACTTTTCTTGTGAATCAAATTTTGGGGAAACACTAACACGCTATAACATGAGTGTATGTTCCCCGAGCTTACTAGCTATAAGACAGGGAAAATGTCTAGGAACCTGATACTGAAGAAGGCTAATCCAGAGTGAAGAAATTGCAGAAAACTTAATGAGCTAGCAGGACATGGAGTTCTAAAAGTGGAAGGAAGATTAAAAGAACCTTAGAAACCAGAATATTTAAGATATATTATTAAAGCATTTTACGGAATAAATTGAACAGATATATTTTCTTCCTTCCAAGATGTAGTTTTCAATATGGAACTTTGAGAAAGGGGGTGGGAGGCATAATTACATTATGTAGAAGCTAGTAATCTTGATGTTTTGGTCCACTTCCTTGAGTTCCTTTTTTCCCAGGACCAATTTAGTCTAAAGAGACAATTAAAATAATTTAAAGATACTACAAAATTAACAACCTATATGAGTTTTCACTGTCATTTTTAAAAAAGAATTATTTATTATTATTTTTAATTCACCAGAGAGAGAGAGAGAGCAAGCTGCCAGGTCTAGGATTCAAACTGCGGTCAATCATGTGTGAGTCCAGTATCCAAACCATCACGCCACCTGCTGGCCCCCACTGTGTCATATTTTAAAATAAGCATGGTACAGATGAAATAGCATGGGCTGCTAGGGTGTTAAGAGTAAGCTAAAATTCACACTTTGCCATTCACTAGGCATATTACCTGCTTAAAAAAAATCTCTTTAGGGCCAGCCAGTGGTGTGGTGATTAATACAGCTGGCTTCCACATGGCCAACTGTGTGGTTCAAGTTCCAGACCCAGAAGCTTGAAAAACATGCTGAGTGCAAGTATGGGCATGGCCAAAAAAATCCCGGAAACAGAATTGGTGGGGAAGAGATTGTAGAATGTGGCAGAGGAGGGTTTTTCTCATTTTCGTTTCTTTTTCTCTCTGTAAGGCAAGTACATGTGCCTTCTAGCAAATTATTAAACAACAAAAAAACGCACTTAGCTTTAGTTTTCCCATTATAAAGTCTGCATAATGCCAACTACCTCATGTTTTCACTGCCGGGATGAAAATGTATGGAAAAAGCATACACTGAGAGAAATAAAGAGAAGTATTAGCTGCTTCCTAGTGTTACTTAGAACTTTTCATGTAGAAGAAGCTAAATTCTAAAAATGAGGGATAAGAAAATGGCAGAATTAAGAAAAAAATAGATGAAATAAAGGCTATAGATGATGCTAAAAAATCTGCACAAAACCTTACTTTGTAAATCAGAAGTTCAGCAGACCCCAGCATTTCAGAAATGCCATTAAGAACTTTATATTACTCCTGGGAACCAGCAGTTAGCGTAATGGCTATGTCGCTGGACTCCCACGTAGTCGACCGCGGTTCGTGTCCCGGACCTGGTGGCTTAAAACTCACGCCGGGCGCGTGTACGTGCGTGCCCAAGATCCCGAGAGGAGAATGGAGGAGAGGGGATTGCCGCGTGACTATACCCCCTGGGGGGTGATTTCTCGCTTTCTGTCTCTATGTCTCTGTCTGTCTGGCACGCGCCCTACAGTGAAAATCTCTCCAAAAAAAAAAAAAAGAACTTTATATTACTCCTGACATAAAACATTCTTTAAAAAGAATTTTAACTTTTAAATGCTTCCCATTTTTCCATGAACTTTTTTGAAGTAACCTCATATGCTTATATATAAGCTGGGGTAACAAGTTTCAACTGTAAGCCTGTAAAATGAGACTCTAAAATAAAATTGCTTTTACAATTTGTTTTACGGCAACAGCTATGATTTGGAGAAGCAGTGTGGTAGACAAACCTTGGACTAGATGAAAGTCCTGGGGGCTCTGTTTCTAGCTCTAACATTTGGTCATGTGTGACTTTAGATAAATCACCTTTCTGAGTCTTAGTTTTTCCATCTATGAAACTGATTATATTTGTCTTGCTGTGGTAAGGATCTCGTGTTAATGTAATATAAGAATCAAAGACAGGCTGTCCTTAGCCAGGGGAACTGAGTGGCTGGAGTAGAAACAGGAAGGGGAAGTTTACTGCATTCCCCTCTACACTTTAAGAAGTTTACACATGTGCAAAGATGATTTACCCGAAAATTAAACAGGACAGTAAATTTCAGGACACATTTAGAGATATAAAATAACTTTCGATTTTCTTAAGTGTTTTTTTTTCCAGTATTTTATTCTCCTTGGCTATTGATAACACTCTATTCCAGCCTTATCTATCATAGGATTAATGTTTCTTTTTTTTTTTACATCAAGTACATATTTTATTGAAAAGGCATTGTTTTCTTTTTTAGGATTTTGCCCTAGGGGTGTGCATTTGTGTGAGAGAGAGACAGAGAAAGGGAAAGTGAGAAATCACCCCCTAGTGGGGATGGTCAACCTGCAATTCTCTGTCCTCCATTCTTCTGGGATTTTGGGCACGCACACACATGTGTCCGGCGTGACTTTCAAGCTGCCTGGGTCCAGGACTCAAATTATGGTCAATCATGTGGGAGTCTAATGTCTTAACTACCACACCACCTGCTGGCCCCTGAAAAGCTATTTTAAAAACTCCTTTCATAAGGCAATACTACTATACATCCTCTTGGATAAAACTCTGTAAGATTGTATATTTTTTACACAGATAATACCATCATAGGTAAATGGTAGTGTATCCATGTTTTCTCACCCCATCCCCCTTGAGATCAACAGTATTTGTGAGCCTAGGGGCACTATGAGTGGTTACTACAGAGGAAGCTAACTAACCTTCAGTGTAACCAAATCTGTGACCTTGGCATCATTTTCAGTTAGTTCATTCAGCTACCTACTCCTATGAGATAAGTACTGTTGATGACGAAAAAATCCATTTGGAACAATTTGACACCCCTATCAGTGACACAGCTACATTGGTTTCTCTTTAAAAAAGCTATGTTATCTTAAATAATTAGAAAGTTTTACTAATATTTAAGTTACATATGCTTCATTAATGCACTATTTCCCTCAACGAGATCATGAACTCACTGAAGGAATTACAATTTGTAGGCATTTGACTAAAACAAATGGAATCGTGCAAACATACTAGCAAAAGCAAGAATAAATCTTTTAATATTTGAAAAATTTTACAAAATTTTAAATTTTGCTCAACGATTAAACAAATCTCACTTTAAATGTCACTAAGTGCCCACTCCAAAAACCCCATTAAAAACATGAGACATTATTAACAGTTATATCTGTGAATATCTCCTGTATACTCCAACAATTCAATAGAATTAGGCATCATCTCTATTTTAGAGATGAGGAATTCAACATTCAGGAAAGTAAAACAGCATACTCAAGGTCACAGAAGGTATCAGAGTCAAAATTAAAACACAGGATTGCTCAACTCTAAACCTAAGCTACTTCCGTACATATGAAATTTGCAAAGGGCATTTTCTTTAACCTATGAGTCAAACTGCTTGATTGCTATGGCAGAGAGAGAGAGACATGTGGACACCATTCACAGTTCTAAAGTCACATGGTATTAAAGATATTGTAGCTAAAACACTCTATAGCTATAATTCACTGCAGTTTGCAGAGTTTTCTTATGCTGAGCTGGATAGTTCTCCACTGAAATCTCATCTCTCTGTTCAATATAGAGGTGAATATTATCAGAGTACATATTGAACCCCACACTACGCAATGATATGAAGTTACTTGGTCATAAAAACTATAAATCACGATCATTATGTATTGTTTACATGTACTGAAATATCACACCGTATCCTCCAAATATGTACAATTAATACTTCTGAATTTAATAGCAACTCAAAAGTATAGATCAGTCTATCTTCATCTTAGATATCTTTGCTCTTGTGGGCAGTCAACAGTAGGCTATTTTCCCCTAAATTTCAAGTTTCTTTTGGGCCACTCTTCCTCTTCATTCATAGGTAAATCTCAGTGTCCAGCAATGAGGACAACTATGCCTCACAAAAGGCCATCGGGGTAAGAGAACCCCGGGTTTTGTCTAACTGCACTTGTAACTTTTCAAAATGGAAAAGTAGACTGAAAACAGCAGGGAAATCTCTACAATGGAAAAACACTCACTTAGGTCATTAAATAAGTCCGACTGAGACTGTTACGTGGGTACCCCCCAAACCTCTCAAAGATAAATACTAATGAATGAATATAATTGTGAAAGTTTTCATCAGAGATTGGTTTATCAATATGGAGAACGTGGAAATACAGAAAAGCATTAATGGCCAAGACCTCAGCACAGATTACAGGAACCAAATGAAGTATTCAACAATACGGTTTGCTTCTTAGTTCTAAATAAGTTCCTTGGTGAACTTCAGGTGGGTTCTACATAAGGAAACACAAATAAATTACTTTCTTAAGGGATATTTGGGTAGAGTAAGGAATAAGCACTAACGCACATTCCATACCTTCGGGGACCAGAGTAATCAACCGGCACTGAAATTAAGCCCTTCTTCTTTTATCTCTACAGAAATGACAAGGTGAGGAGGGCACAAAGGATGCCAAGACTAAAGTGCGACGAGGTCTCGCCTTCTTTTCTCTCTTGAAAAAAATGTCCAAGCATTTCTCTAAACTGGTCCAAAGAAAGGGCTAGATCCATTCAAGGACCCGAACATGGTTGCCTGGGAAGAGAGCCTGAAAGGCAGGGGTAAGACCAGGGCCTACAAGGCCAGGCAGCCACCCTTCCCCCACTCACCTCCCAGAGCGCAGCTTTACTGGTGCTGTCCGAGTAACTGCCGCCATCACCATCGCCATCACTCCCGACGCTCGCGGAATCGGAGAAGGGAAGCCCAGCCACTCCAGCACCTCTAGTAGGTCGTTTCTGCAACCCCCCCACCCTCGGAGCCCGGCTTCCTTCCCATTCGTCTCGGTCAACGCCTCCGCCTGCTCCCCAGGCGCCGCCACCACTTCCGTGTTCAGATCCCTCCCTTCCTCGCTCACTCCCCTAGCAACCGGCTCCTTTCCCGGCGGCCGGCGCGCAGCTGACGCCACCACCTCGCGCCCGGGGCTGGGACCCGCGCTGGGCGGGGAGCGCCCGCGCAGGCGCAGTGAGGAGAGCGCTCTCGAGCGCGGGAATCGGCGCTGCGCGGGCGGGTGCTTTCTGCTCTCCTTAGGGGTGGAGGCAGCGTCTCCTCCGTGAGTCCTCGTTGCCGCAGCCGTCACCGCACCGAGGACACGCGTATCCCCTTTCCCGTTTAATGACTGACAGACCTTTTGCTTTATCTTGCTTGTGCGGTTGGGGTGGGAGTGACAGGGCTGCGAAGAGCGTGCCCGGAGAAACGACTGATCTGTATTCTTCCCCTTCAGCTTTCCCCTCCTTTTAAATACGGAGACGCGTTTGTACAGTAGTTCAAATAGGTAAAGAAAAAGATGCCGGCCACGCAGAAACCGATGAGATATGGACATACAGAAGGACACACGGATGTCTGTTTTGATGATTCCGGGAGGTAAGATTCTTTGAGAAACAGAACGTTTCAGGTGTGTTAGAACATTGGTTCTCTTTCAGTCTTGAATGAGTATGCAGTCGGTCGAAGATACTCGTCTAGATATGGAATAATGTTGAAAACTAAATGTCACATATATTCCCATAGATTCATTTTTTTTTATTCAGACTATCATGATTGTTTCATGGATCAAAAAAGTCTTCCCGAAGAGTTGGAAAGATGTGAGTTCCTCCCCTCAGTCCTCATTTTTCCCTTCTCAATCACTCACATTATGAATGTTGTCAGATCACTAGATACTGCCGCCTTCGTTTCAGTGGCCCTTTCTATTTAGTATTAATAGATTCTCCCTTGGTTTTAGTGATGCTATTTTTTTCTTTCTTTTTTTTTTTTTAAACTATGCCTTTTGTTATTTACATTTTTTAATTTACTTTCTCTGCTTGATTCCTAAATGGTCACATTTTCCTAGGGTTATTCTAGTCCTTTTTTTATTTCTAAATCTCATTTTTATGCAGTACTGTCCAGTTGTGTGGCTTCCAGTGTCACTCCTATATTGTTTGATTCATTGAAACATTTTTGAGTGTCCTACTCTACTGAGGATTAAAAACACAACAGTGCAAAAAAGGCACAATCTTTTCTATCATTGAACTTAAGGTCTTTAGGGTATTGAGTGCAAATTACTCATGAGAACAAATTATATTTACAAAGGCACTTAGAGGGACCAACAGATGGTGTAATGGTTATATCGCTGAACTTCCGCGTAGTTGACCTCCGTCAAGTCCCGGACCCAGTGGCTTAAAACTCACTCCAGGCACCTACCTGTGAGTGGGTGCCCAAAATCCTGAGAGGAGAATGGAGGAGAAGGGATTGCGGCATGGCCATCTCCCCCGGGGAGTGATTTCTTGCTTTGTGTCTCTGCCTTTCCAGCAAACCCATGCACTCTAGCCAAAATCTCTCAAAAAACAATTGCACTTAGATATATTAAGTGATATGGGCAATGAGAAGTATACAAGAGGACGCTAATCTAGTTTAAGGAGGTAGGGAAGGCTTTTCTCAGGAACTGTTTCTTGAACTAAAAGCTGAAATTTGAATAGACATTTAAAAAAATGGGTGGTGGTGGAAGTAGGGTGGTAATGTTAGTATTCCAAGCAGAGAGAACACTATATACAAAGGCCTCTTAGGGACATGGACCATGGCATGCTCAAAGAATTAAAGCTAAATGATATAAAAATGTAGAGTGTGTGTGCAGAGATTTATGAGAGAGGGATCTGTGAAGGTAGGCTGTGGGTGTCTTAGCCAAGGCCTTCTGGGCTTTAAATCCATTTTTCTGTTATAAATGAATACTGCAGATGAGGCAGTTTATGAAGAATAAAGGTTTATTCAGCTAATGATTCTGGAGGTCCAAGGTCAAGGATATTGAATCTGGTGAGAGTCTTGCAGGTGGGGACTCTACAGAGTATGAGATGACACAGGACATTTCATGGCAAGAGAGCAAGAGTGTGTGTCTGGGGGCCAGCAGGTGGCATGGTAGTTGAAGTGCTAGATTCCCACATGGCCAACTGCTGTTGGATTCCTGGACCCAGGGGCTTGAAAAATCACTCTGGGTACGTGTGTATGAGTGTCCAAAATCCTAAGAGAAGGATAGAGGAAGAAGGATTGTAGGATGGCCATCCCCCAAGTGGTGATTTTTCACTTTTCTGCTCTCTAACAGGTGCACACACTCTATGGCAAAACCCTAAAAAAAAAAAAAAATGTGTATCTATGTTTCTCTTCATTGAAAGCCACCCATATAATCAAAGAGCCTTACCTTGATGACTTAATCTAATCCTAATTACTCCCAAAGGATGTACCTTTGGATATGCCATATTCCGATTAAGTACTCACCTCTTACTACCATTATAATAACAAGCAAATTTCAACACGTGAATTTTCTGTGTTTCTTTTTTTTTTGGAGAGATTTTCACTGTAGGGCGCGTGCGCTCGCCAGACAGACAGAGAGAGACATAGAGACAGAAAGCGAGAAATCACCCCCCAGGGGGGATGGTCACACCGCAATCCCTTCTCCTCCATTCGCCTCTCGGGATCTTGGGCACGCACGCACACGCGCCCGGCGTGAGTTTTTTAAGCCACTGGGTCCGGGACACGAACCGCGGTCGACCACGTGGGAGTCCAGCGACATAGCCATTACGCTAACTGCTGGTTCCCAAAAGGTTAATTTTCTGGAGACACATTCAAACCACAGCAGTTTTATTTTATTTATTTATTTATTTTGGAGAAGGTTTTGCTATAGGGCGCATTCGCTAGCCAGACAGACACAGAGAGACAGAGAGACAGAAAGCGAGAAATTACTCCTCAGGGGGGATGGCCACGCCGCAATCCCTTCTCCTCCATTCTCCTCTAGGGATCTTGGGCACGCACGCACACGCGCCCGGCGTGAGTTTTTTAAGCCACTGGGTCCGGGACACGAACCGCGGTCGACCACGTGGGAGTCCAGCGACATAGCCATTACGCTAACTGCTGGTCCCCAAACCACAGCATTTTTATTAAGAAATTTTGTTTTTATCCTAAAAGCAGTAGAGGGTATTTAGGTTTGAAGCAGAGAGTAGAAGGAGAAAGTGAGAAAGCACCATCTAGGGGTGATGGCCACATTGCAGTCCCTCATTCTCCATTTTCTTGGGAATTTGAACACGTGTACACACGTATCTGGTGTATTTTTTAAGTTACTGGATCTGGATTTTTTTTTTTTTTTAATTTTTGCTATAGGGTGCATGTACTTGCTGGAGAAACAGAGAGAGACAGAAAGCAAGAACCCCCCCTCCCCCACAGGGGGGGTTGGCTATGCTGCAGTCCCTTCTCCATTCTCCTCTCAGTATTTTGGGCATGCACGTACATGCGCCCCTCATGAGTTTTAAGCTTCCAGGCCCTGGACTTGAACCAGGGTCGGCTACGTGGGAGTCCAGCAATGTAACCATTATGCCATCTGCTGGTGCCCCAGTCTGGAATTCTAACCATGTAATTGGCCATGTGGGATTCAGCTGCCTAACCACCATGCCACAGCTGGCCTAGATTTTTGTTTTTAAGAAGATACATGGAGGATGAATTGGAAAAGGAACAAGATTTAGAGAGACGATTGGGAAATACTTGTATTAGTCTGGTTGACGGTGATGGAAGCTTGAACTAGAATATAAGGGTGCAAAATAAACAGGCTACATTAAGGAAATATTTTAAAGTAACAGGAATTGGTGGTATCAGGGATAAAATCTACATTTCTGAATGTTACAGTTGAGGAAATGATATTTTTACAGATACACTTGAAGAAGATCCTATATCATATAGAGCAGGCAGTAGAGATTATGAATTTACATTTGGACATGGCTAATATGGGATTTCTTTGAGATTCAACAAGAGCTACCCAGAAGACAGGTGATTACATGGGTCTCCAGCTCAAATAAAAAGGTGAGCTGAAGATAGAAATACTATATTATTCTTTAGCTGATACCTCCCATAGTTCAGCACTGAGGGCCTTGCTAGGAATCTAAATGTGGGAGTTACTGGTATTTAGGTGGTTTTTAATGTTATGCACTTGGATGAAATCACCTAGAACAGAGTGAATATAGATTAAAAAGTTCAAGGGATATGCCCTGTAGTACTCTAAAAAGTTTAAAGATCATGTTGGAAAAGGATCCAACTAAGGAAACTAAGAAGGAGTGGGTGGCAAGAAACGTAGAGAACCAAGAGGGGGATGGTTAGAGGCTACTTGCTGGCCCCTTAAAAAGTATCTTAAAACTTTTTTTCCCTAAAAAACATCTGTGGGACTAGATGGTGGTACAGAGTTAACACACAATTCTCTGAGAGGTTGATCAACATGAGAAAGTTCCAGGTTCATGTTCCTTTCTGAAGACTTTGGGTACTCTGGGCATGCAAGTGCCCATGATTCAGGCCTACCTAGAGCTGGTGGTTGGTTGTGGCATCAAGACTCAACTAGGGGGACCAGCAGTTAGCGTAATGGCTGTGTCGCTGGACTCCCACGTAGTCGACCGCAGTTCGAGTCCTGGACCCGGTGGCTTAAACTCACACCGGGCGCGTGTGCGTGCGTGCCCAAGATCCTGAGAGGAGAATGGAGGAGAAGGGATTGTGGCGTGGCCATCCCCCATGGGGGGTGATTTCTTGCTTTCTGTCTCTCCGTCTCTGTCTGGCAAGCGCACGCGCCCTATAGCAAACCCCCCCCCCCAAAAAAAAGACTCACCTGGGGCTGAACTTTTTCTTTTGTTCAAAGAAATAAGTTTAAAATAATTTTAAAAATATGTTTATGACATTAAAACATTTAAAAATATTTCTCCATTGATTATCTAAAAATTAAACATCTAAACATTAACATAAGAGAATTATCATTCTTAATAGATGTTCATGTACTTAAATGAATTTTTTTACCCTGTCTTGTGGTATTGCTGTTCTGAAAAATGTATATTTTTCAATATAGTGTTATTTTAATTTTTTTTGAAAATTTTTTTGCAATCTTCTTTAGAATTGTAGTTTTAGAGGCCAGCAGGTGGTGTGGTGGTTAAGGGCACTAGACTCCCACATGACCAACCACAGTTCAAGTCCCAGACCTGGTGGCTTGCTTTCTCCCTGCCCCTCTCTCTCTGTTAAATTAAAATAAATAAATAAAAATAATTCTTTTTTAAAAATTGTATTTTTAGCCAACTAGATTGAAGTGAGATCTTCAGTTAATTTTTTTCTTTAGACCATAGCATTTTAAAGAGAAATACTCCCTTTAGAGTTAAAGTAACTGGCTAATACCTAGTAAATTCTACTAACTAGAAGAGTCATAGATTTTACAATTTTATTTTCATTGAAATGGGTGAATATTTCAGCCTCTGTATTATTATTTTTTTTTTAGAGGTTTTTGCTACAGGGCATGTGTGCTCGCCAGAGAGACAGAGACAGAAAGTGAGAAATCACACCCCAGGGGTGATGGCCCTGCCGCAATCCCTTCTTCTCCATTC